TTATACCTTTCTATTTGTATTTCTTCTTTTGAGTTCTTATACTAGGGAAACTATACGATATTTACACATGTGTGTCTGGTTTATTTCACTTATGAGAATATGTTCAAGTGGCATCCACTTCAATATAAAGGCTTCAAGTTTATCATTCTTTATAGCTGAGTAATACTCCATTGTGTAAAAATACCACATCTTTTTCAGCCATTCCTCAGATGATGGGCATCTTGATTGTTTCCAAGATTTGGCTATTGTGATTGATTCTTGATCAAGTGCTGGGAATATGGCTGTGAGTCGCCTGGGCAGATATCTGCATTACAATGTAAGGAGGGGAGAGAGGCCTGCTAGCTGCCTGAGCTGCTGCCACTCCCCTTGTTCTCTGCTCTTTGCTGCAGCCATGAGTTGCTGCCCTCTGCCATGTGCCACTCTGTCTTCGAGCCAGCTGAATATGGATTGAAGCCTCCAGTAACTGTGAGCTAAATAAACCTTTCCTTCCTTCATTCTGAGTGTTGTTTATTTGTCCCAACAATGAGAGAAGAGTAACTGAGACAGTCTGTTATTCCTTTTCACCCCCCAAAGGAAGTCTGAGTCTGGATAGTTTAGGGACTTTATTTGCTTCAGTTTCTTTAGCCAAATGAGATGTGGTTAATCTCCAATTTCCTTGAGCCCACAGTGGTGCATTGGTGGTGTCTGGAGATACAGTAGACTGTGACCCAGCTGTGCCAGCCTCTCCAGAGCCTCCCTTCTTGTTCTTCTAACTCTTGTATGCTTCTGATATTTCACTCCAGCTTCAGTGGTGTCTTGCCTCTCCTGTGGCTCTTCCCACCTGCCCTCTTTGAACCACATTTACTTTGAAACTGATAACAGACAACCCTCCCTGTGGGCTGTCCCAACTTGATCTGAAGTGCTGTCTTTGCACCAGTGACCTGGAAGTCCCTGCTGGGCACAGACATCCCCCAGGATCTCAGGGTTCTGTGTTTACTGAACAACCTTGCACAGGAGACATGGATCTGCTTGTAAAGACGATGGGAGAGCACAAATGCCCAAGCAGCACGGAACTCTCCCTGCAGTGCTCCCACTTTGCTCCTGCTCCTTTGCTGCTTGAGTGATGTCATTGGTAGCAGTGGTGTTTGCTCAGGCTAGGAACCCAGGATTGCTCTGGACTCTGTCACCTCACCCCCTATCTGCACCCCACTATCTCCTCAGTGCTTTTGGGTGGGACCTGTACTTTCTGTGATGCTCTGAGTCTTGGACAGTCACCTCATGCTGCCTGAGTTCTTTCTATTTGCCTCCCCATTCTCCATGAAAGTCCAGAGGAAGCTTTCAAACATGTCTGTCCTCAAAATCCCACTGCTAAGTCCCACAAAGTCCTACAGGGCCTCTGTGCCATGCCCCTGTGCGCTCCCACCCTCTGTCCTTTCCCTTCTGGGGTTGAGCCTCGCCATAACCCCCAGGCAGCCCTGCTCCTTTGGGGCCCTGCTTCTCCCAGGTGTCTAGTGCCAGCCCTGTGCAGCCCTGGGCCAGCCCCTCCTGCAAAGTGCTCGTTCTGCCTGGGCTAACTCACTAACTTTTCTGACTGTGGTTCAAGCTTTGTACAGTACCTTCTCTTTTGCAGGGTATCCTTCAGCAGTCTCGTTCTCAGCAGAAAGTCCCCTGCCGTATTTTCATAGGTTTAAAACTTTATCTTTCTTTTTATCCTGATACAACAGTACCAGGAAAGGATTGGAAGGAGTCGCTGTGAGGCCAGGTGGTTTTATGCTCTCCTCTGTGGACAGCAGCACTGGCTAGCAGCTCTTACCCCAGCTCTGGTGCAGCTCTACCACCTGGAAATGCAACCATACTGCACACCAGATTGCATTTCACTTGCAAGTGCTTGGTTCCACAGTGTGCAGCTGGCCAGGCACGCGCGCACACACACACACAAACACACACACACACACCTGCACTCCCCACTCTGTGTGAGGTGGGGGCAGGAGGATAGCAAGTTTGACCATAGCCCAGGTGACTTAGCTAGACCCTGTCTTCAGAAGGGTTGGTGATATAGCCCTGTGTCAAGGTTCACCCCCACAGGCGTTCAATCTGTAGTACAGGGGAAGATAAAGAATGTGAGGTGTGTATTTTCTGTTCATCAGAAGAGATCCATGCCTGAAGTGAAGAGAATCCCAGGTTTGTGGAAAGGGCTCCTCACAAGCGTCAGACACGTGGTCCCCAGTCTGCGGGCAGTCCGCTAACATCCTCCTATTGGCACGTCAGTCGCAGGCAGAGTTCCTTGGCTTCTGTGCTATCCAGTACTTAGTAAATAGAAGCAAACTTCCTCCACACTTATTGAGACCATGAGCAAAAATAAGAGTAAATATGTATGTTGGCCGTGAGATTACTAGTTTGAGACAGCTGCATTAGATATTTAATTTTGTAAGTCAGAATTCTTAGGTATTATTAAATAGTGTAAGTCAGATGGAATAGATCTGGGCCACGATGGCATCAGAGGTGAGTACTCCTTGTTAAGCTATTAGTGACTTCTTGAAAGAAATATTAGAAAAATTGTTATTACATACAATGTTTGGCAGTTCTCCAAGGTGAAATCAAGGCACAGTATTTTTATACCTATGATTAACAGGATTGTTTTGCCTTTGTTATAAACAATGTGACCAAGAGAAAAAAAACAGGAAGAAAAAAATCACTACAACAATAGACACCATCTGCGAACAGCATTAATCTCCTGTCTTTGTTAGTCAGATTTAGAAGCTTTGAACTGTTTTTGTCCATTTAGAGTAGATTTATAGAACTCACTTTTCTCTCCTACCTGAGTAAAAGTCAGCTGTATAACTTTATTTGTATTCCAGATAATAAAAATATTTTGATTCAATGTAGTTTTGATACTTTCATTAAAATATTTTTCAAATACATGAAGAAATCACCATGCTTTATAGAAAAATGTTTATTTAAAAATCAAAGAACATTTAAGCTCAGTTAAGAGGCTATGATTTCAGAGTTTTTGATTGTAAACATAAAACCATGGACCTAAGTTCTCCACAGACATATGTCTTCATACTCAAAAGTCGTTGCAGGATTTCATGGGAGTAGGATGTATTTTGCAGGGGATACTAGCTACCTGTTTCCCACAGTTCCTTAAAACCCCTCCTGCTTATTGGCCCTGGGTTTCTGTTATGTACATAGGTAACGGTACATGGTCTTCACTGCCACAAGTTCATGACAACAGAGCTCCCTGAAAGTGGATCTGGAGGGTCCATCAGAGCTTTGTTCCCACTGGAAGGGGCAACACAGAGATGAGGACTCTTCCAATGTCACAAGGATGTAAACAGCTGGGGGAAAGAATGTCACATCCACACAATGAGCTGTGTGCCTACGGAATTGCAGGCATACTTGCTTTTCTGATTCCTGAGTACTTTAAGGACAGGAAATTTTAAAACTTGCCTGAACAGCTCCTAAACTCCAGCCCCAGAAGTACTGAGTGAGTGTTTCTGGACAGGACCCTGGGCTTGTGCTTGAGACGCCCAGGTAGCATTCCCATGCTGCTCTGATGAAGAGCTTCTGTTCAATGATAAATAACACACGGTTGCTGATGGTAGGCCTATGTGCTGATTCACAGCAAGCATGCATGATTGATTATTGTGCAGTTATTCTGTGACAGCTGATAGTAGTATAGTCAGTTGCGTTACATGTAGATGTTCTTGCTCCTTACAGTCTTGAACAAGATGTCAAGGACTTTGGCTCTTCATTTCTGGGCCTGTTGAGCAGCTGTCTGGCCCAGTGCCAGGAGCACCTTTCTGATATGGCAGCTGCTGCACAAAGAGTGTGAGGTGAAAGTTTGCACTGAAAGTTTGCGAGGTGAGACAGCTTCACCTGGACGTGAGCTGGTGTGTGCTTGAGCAATCTTGCAAATGGCTGCGTAAGTTGCTTCTCTGGACCTTTTGCTGTTACCTGTTTGCAGTGCCAGGAACACATCCCAATGCACTCACGGCAGTGGCTCAATGCCAACTGTTTCCTGGTGGCTGGCTACCTCTGCCCCTCATCCCTTGCAGCCCACCCTGCCTCAGGGTCTCCCTTTTCTCTCTGGTGCGTGATCAGCATGTTACTGACTTTGCCATTTAGGGCCAAATGGGCACTTTTTGTACCCATTTTTGCCAACAGAGCCAAGGTGTTCTGTCCCCCAGCTCCTATTTTGCTTCCTGTCCTAGAATCCCACAGTTAGGCTTCTCTCAGCTACAGTGGCCTTGTCGGCTCCAACCCCTGGACTTGCACCGTGGTGGTGCTTCAGGGCTACAGCGGAGACTCTCGCTTCAGTACTGCTATGTGTCCAGACACACTCACTGCAGCCACACTATGTTGAGTCTACCCCTGAGACAGGTCACAAGCCAGGAATGTGGAAAGTCATCATGTGTTCCTCCAGACCTGTGCCTCGAAACGTGTGGACTTCTATTGCTGTCCTGGCAGGCTAAAAGGTGTTTATGTTAGATAACTCAAGTGACCTGGGATCCCTTGGTGGCCTGTGTAGTGCATGCAGTCAGTGAGTTCTCACAGCATCTCAGGATGTGACTGCTGTGTTTGTAGGTGTGTGTGATTGTGTGTGTATGGATGCTGTGTGTGGTGTTTGTGGAAGGCAGGGGTTGTTTGTGTGTAAGGTGTTGTGTATACAGGAAGGTGTTACGCATGTGTATGTGTGCCATGCATGATGTGTGTTATATGTTTGGTATGTGCATTGTGCCTGGTGTGTGTGTGTGTGTGTGTGTGTGTGTGTGTGTGTGGCCTCCCAGGTTGTATACACCCACCACTGTATGGCAGTGTCCCAGGGAGGAGGAGGAGAGGGCCACAACTTTTTCCTAAGGACATGCAGTCCTGTGTCACACTTCTGCAGCCCTTGACACCACCCAAAGCTCATTGCCCACACTAACTCTATGGCAGGGAAAAAGATGTCCCTTGGTGCTTGTTCACAATGACTGTCCTGCTTGAGTGCCATGGGATGTACTGGCTGACCAGCTCCCCAGGGTGTCTTCACCTCTTTAGCTGATCCTTATCAGAGATGGGTCTCAGACATGGCTAATGCTCAATTAAGCACTGTATCTGGTAGGTCAAGTGATGGAGCAGCCAGGGCCAGGGACCAGGGAGAGCTCAGAATCAGCTGAGTGGATGAGTTGGCAGGCTCCACACAGAGGCTATGCTCGGTCAGGGCCTCTTCTTCTTATACCTGTCTTCTCTCTTTGGGCCCCGGTTTCTTTCCTAGAGGGAGACAAGCTCTTGAAGGGTACTCTGTTTCAGGGCCATGAGCATTGCACTGTGGTGTACAATCTCAATTCCTGCAGCCCCTGGCTAGGCTGTGCCCTACAGGTGATGGCACATAGCACAGCCCCAGGAGGTGCTTGAGGGGCCCTCCTGTATGTAGCTCACTTATCCTTAGATACAACACATCTCTTGCAGTAGCCTGATAGGACCCCAATCTATTGGCCAAGCCACCTGTGTAGTAACCTGCCTGGGTACCAGGGCATGCTGACTCAGCTGTGGCTACATACTCAACCAGTGTTTAGTGGACAGTCTCCAGTCACCCTCATATCTGGCTAGGTCTTGGCTGGACAAGGAAGGAAGCAGAGGCTGAAGGTCACCATTAACAGTACACAGAACCAGAAGCCAGACCCAGTTTCTCTGGTACCCCAGCTTCCCACCAAACAGGCTCCAGTCTAGGGTACCTTTCTGTCATAAGGTGACTGTAAAATCTGAGGTCCTGGACACCATCCATTCCTGTGCACACAAGACCTCCATAGCCTCAGATGGTCCAAAGCCTGTCCTGCTGACCACTTGGGGAGTTTAGCATCTCTTTAACATCCTCTGTGCTTGAAGAAGCAATTCAATCTGCCAGGTAGACCGACTCTCCTTTCCTGCTATGTTGCTGCATGTAACCTTGGCAGGAGAGAGCTCCGCAGCACTCTGGTGTGAGTACCCAATGCAGCCAGCATATCATTGTTCTCTCTGCAGTTCAGCAGACAGCATCAGAACACATGAAGACACACCTCGGTGACACTGGACCAAAATTTCAAAGATCCCAATGGAAGTACAAGGAAGTGAGAGGACAGAAGAGAAGTCGGGAGGGGAGGTCCCAGTATAGGGGGCAGCAGAAGCCAGAGGTGAGTGGACAGGCTATGAGCAGGGATTGTATGTCCTCCTTCCCCAGAAGCCATTGGTTACCATGGCTGATAGATTGAGAAGTGGCCATGGTGAAGGAGGGAGTCACTGTGGTGTTGGTGTCGAAAGGCATGTGTGGCTCAGGGCCATACTGAAGACATGCCAAACTCAAGTGGACCACATGAGCATCTCCGAAGTGACCAATGGGTCAGGCTGACAGGAGTACAATGAAAAGCTTTGGGAGGGTTTGGGAGGGCATGGGGTAGCAAGAGCCAGGAAACTGAGCTCTTCCTAGTGGGAATGTGCTGAGTTCTCCACAGTGTGCAGCCTCCCTACAACCTGTCAGCTCCTTTCTCCCCAGAGTCCAAACAAGAATCCAAGGGTCTCTCCCTCGCTTTCTTGGAAGGCATGAGATCTTCATAAGTTCCAGGCCTCCACTTAGCAGCATGAGGGCGTGACGGTTGATGTTGGCTTGAACAGTCTTGCCTCTGGGAGGTATGGCTTCCTGTGGTTGTACGTTAGCCAGTGTCTCTAGCTCCCGTGGCCAAATGCATAGGAAGCCACGTTCCTGAGGGCCTCCTGACCCCTTGGGGAGGTGATCTTTCTGTTCGGTCTTAGACGTGTGAGAATAATCTCATTTGAAGCACATTTTCTTATATGGTTCAGTACTAAAATTATTAACAGAAGACAGTTACTGGGCACTTACTGGGTACCAGACACTATTTAAAACATTTTAACCATTTATTTTATCTTCAGAGTGGCACTATCTTTTGGGATTGAGAATCTAGTGATAAAAGACAGCTGTTATGTAAAGTTCTCTTTCAGTATTCATTAGAGGGCAAGGACAAAATGAAGCTCCCCAATGAAGCATCCAGCGCAGAGCACTGACCATGGAAGACCCTGAGAGTACTGAACTAAGCTGAGTTGTCCTGGCCTTACCTGTCTGTATGTCCGCATGGAGAGAGTGGAGAAAGGCTTGCTTTCTGGGCTTCTGTGGGAGCCTAGAGGACACCTTGAGACTGCAAGGCAAAGTTTAAAGGCACTCATGTGGGTAGCAGGAGCTGGTTTCCAGCTTGGAGAGGTGCACACCTGTCTTGCTAACTCAGCACACTGGTGGGACAAGGCTGAGAAAAGGGAAGGGTGCAGTTTGTGCCTCCTGTTAGGGTCACAGAGTCCTACACTGGCATCCAGGGATGTCTGCTAGGCTCTGCCTTGACTCTTTTCAGATCATCATGTTTCTGAGTTACTTGGAGATGTTTTAAAAAAAAAGATTATATCTGAGAATGATCAATTTTGAAAGGGATTGATCAGAGAGAGTATTGCAAAGAATTTCGAGAGACAGGAGCAATAAC